TAATTGCCTATTTGTCTAATGTACTGTTGGAATATAAAAATAAAAATGATGATAAATAAAAAAAGATCTCTGATAGGGTATGCCTCGTCGGGTCGCTGGAATCGCACAGTCTCTCGAAAGATGTACGCGCTCTCCCAAAGCACGCCGCTGATGGTAAGGTAAGAAGGAAGTGCCTTATTAGGAATGCTTTCCATTGGTCTAAACCAAAGATCCCGTCAGGATCGGTAAGGGATGCCATGGAAGGCCACATGCCTCCATGTATAAAATGGGATGCCTGAAAAAGGTTCTTGGCGATCAAGGATCTGAATGGGCCAGACGAGGTTCCCGGTGGAAAGGCAGGGTTACCTATAATTGGGTAGAGTGGGGAAGCCTCATTAATCAGCTTCCACCTGGTAAGTGCCTTCGAGCACACTGCGAGAGTGGTACCAATCAGGCGGTGGGTCTGAAGCGATTGGGGGAGAGTCGAGGGACACCAAGCCGCCCTAGCCAATAGATAGGGCGACATGGACTCCTCCAGGGGCACCCATTGTTTTGTAGATGAATGTCTGCACCAGTCGACCAGGCGAACCAGATGGCTAGCTACATAGTATTTCCGTAGGTCAGGAAGGGCTCTGCCGCCTGAGTCTTTAGGTAAAGTCAGAAGGGATTGGCTTAAACGGGGATGGCGATTGGCCCAGATAAACTTTGTCAGCAAAGAGTTGACCTGGCGAAAATACCTGTCAGGGACCGGGATAGGGATGGATACCCTTCTTAAAGATTTCGTTATAAAATGACCCTCCTATATCCAAGACACAGGAGATGTACTCCGAAAACCTAACAATATAAAGATAGGGAAGGGATGTTTCCTGGTTGGGATAGATTTAGAATGCCTATACACCTCTATTCCCCATCAGTGTGGACTAAAGCCAGTATATAATTTCCTTACGCAGAATTACCCATTGGCAGCGTCCCAGAACGAATTCCTAGGGGAAATGTTGGAGTTTGCCCTTAATATCAACTACTTTCAATTTATTATATAGAAAAAAATTATTCCCCTTAGCACTAAGGAAATCCCTATGTGGAGCTGATAAATCAATAATATCGTAACATGTAAATTCTTTATAAATGTATTTAATTGGGCTGTGGAAATTAAAGATTAATTTGTCGCTTAATCGTTAAACTTTTTGATCGATTAAAATGATTTTGATCGCTAATGAAAACACTCACCTCTCCGCCAGCTTCTGGGAGTCCCGTCGGCGATCCGGTGACGCCACGGACATTGACGTCACCGGACTCCTCCCCCTTCCCCAAGTGGCTCCGTCGGCTAACAAAGGGAAGGGGGGAGGAGTTCGGTGACGTCGATGTCCGTGACGGCTAATTAAGGGAAGGAGTCCGGTGACGTTGATGTCCGTGATGTCACCGGACTCCTTCCCCCTTCGTTAGCCGGCTGAGCCACTTGGGCCGGTGAGTTTGCCCAAGAAACTTTCTCCACAAGCCCAAGCCAGGGCATTGGCCTATACACATACAGCACAGCAATGAAGTAATAAAATGAACTAGGATCACACTAATCCAGCACGTTATTATTCTGAGTTGCCCCACTCCAGCGGCGGCCATATTGAGTGGGGCACGTGAGATTAATAACGTACTGGATTAGTGTGATCCTAGTTCATTTTATTACTTAATTGCTGTGCTGTATGTGTATAGGCCAATGCCCTGGCTTGGGCTTGTGGAGAAAGTGCTCAAAATTTGCCAGACCACCTAGGCTCTTCTGAGTACCGCGATGTGGCTAGGTGAGGGAAGACCCAAAACTATAGGCATGTACCCGTGTGGGAGATGCCAGATTTGCCCATTTGTGGAGAGAAGTAAAGTATTCCGCACGAGTGATGGCGGGAAAAGCTACAATATAAAACAATTTATTAACTGTACAACTTGTAAGGTAGTCTATCAATTAGAATGCCCCTGTGGAAAGTACTATATCGGCAAGATGAAACACCAACTACGGGTGAGAATAGGCGAACACCTAAGTGATATTAAAAACTATAGTAAAAAAAAAAAACGGACAAATTGACAGCCCCATTGTTCAACATTTTAACTTGTACCACAAAGGAAATCCGGAAGGCTTAAAGATAAAAGGGATTTATGTATTAAATCTATCAGCGAGGAGGGGGTACTTTGACAAAGTTCTTAAACAAAAAGAAAAAATGTGGATGTATAAATTAGATACCCTAACCCCGAAAGGACCAAATGTGGAATTTAACCTACAGGTTTTCTTGTAAAAAGTTAAAGAAATCCTAATATGCCATGCTAAATCAGACAAATGTCTTTATCTGATATACTGCTATATAATTTCACAATAAGGGTATAGAGTCTATTTCCCAAAAGAATTAGCAACCAACAATGTTTTGAAACTATATCTGTTATATAGAGGTTAAATCTTGATAATAGTAGCAACAAACTACGGTTTGGATTGTATGTGGTCTTTCTTTTTAAATTATAGAAATGAATGTGTGATGAGTGGAAGAAATATGCATGTCATCCACTAAATATAAGATTCCGATGTGATGTTCGGAAGGGGTTAACAGCTGAGGCAATTAAACTCCCTTTACAAAGGTAATGCCTCTACCCCGTGACTACGTCCTGACAAAGCCCCAGGAGGAGGGGCAAAACGCGTTGACGTGTCTGTGCCTGTTAGGGATATCTTGTCCCACCGGGGAACACACTGAGACAACACCGCAATGGCTACAAAATGATACACTAACAAACAAGCAACCTACTTGATGCTGGAGACTCGATACAGATTGGGAAAACCGGTTAGTACCCGATAAGCGCTACACATTGCTACATAAAAGACTTTGAAGAGCTGTATATGTTGAAGCTGAATATCCAGATGTAGCAATGGACCTGAAATCCAAAAACGTACTGGCTCCTATGTAATCATCTTTTGATTATCCTGACATGTTTGGACTGAATTAACACACCTTGGTTGGCATCCTGAATTAACACACCTGGGTTGGCATCCTGAATTAACACACCTAGGCTGGCATCCTGAATTAACACACCTAGGTTGGCATCCTAATCGAAATAATAAAGACCAATGGATTCTTTCATTATCTATATCTAAGATCTAATCATGCTCAAATACCATTGAGGTCAATACAAACAACACTGAAGGGAGAAAGAAAGTACAACAGGTTTAGTCCTCGGAAGCAAATTTCGCTTTTTGTAAGCCTTCTATTAGGTGTTCATACCAAGGACTTTTGAGGAACTTAAAACGTGCAACCAACTGATCAGTATACAATACCTGTTGCATAATATTCTCAAATGATTGGCTGTGAGCCAATTGGCTGTGAGCACCGTATGCAATCACAGGTGGATCTATATAGGTTGTTAACATGCTGGTTGTCAGCTCCATATATATGAAAGTTAACCCTTGGGTGTATTGATATCCCCACTGGTGGGTTCTAAGTTAACCCTTCAGGACTGTGTGAGTGCATATGCATGATCTGACAACGTTGTCAAATTTTTAAACTTGATGTTGGGATATGGTGCATTATTTTTTCATGCATAAATTATATATGTTTCAATAAAGGAATTTATATTTTTTCTACATACGGTCTGAAAGTAACTTTATTGGTCTGCACATTGAATAATGTTCTGCGACCCGTTCTGCCCCCTTTTTTTCATAAACATAGCAAGAGGTTGGGTCAATAAAGATTCAGGTCCCCCGGGGAGCTCATCCGGACCACCCGGCCCATCGGTCCCGGGAGAAAAGTGAGGGGGGATATACACAACATCTACATCGTGGGACCCCCATGGCACCCACTGACAATCCCGAGGGATACCGCACTATAGGGTCCGCACGTGGAAGGCATGCCGAGGGTCCGAGGGACGGGAGAGGAGCAACAAGCTCCTCCCATCGCACCAAGGGGCCATGTGAGATAGGAATCGCGTGCCTCCCATGAAGAGTCAGCAAGGCGTTTGGGGCGGCCTCCCCATCCCATAGTCGGCAGGAGGTCCCATGGCAAGCGGACCGGAGCCCCCCCTCCCATCCACGCGAATCACAGCACCACGGTGAAAGGGAGGCAGCCAAGAGCCTGTAATGCTCTGGACTACAAATCCCAGAGACGTAAAGCTTATCTCAAGGATGAGCCCAGCTGTAAAGCTTGGCAAAACAAAAAGGGTTTTGTATTGGTCTCCTCTAGCTCCCCCGACTGGTTTAAAAGGGTAGTGGCTTCATAATCTTGCTGTTTAATCCCAGGCCTCCCAGCAAAGACAATAAAGGAGCTCTGAGATTAAACGGCGCAGACCTCATCAGCTTGGAGCGCAGAGCAGACGTGAACGGTTCCATATCTGGACCCATCCATTCCGGTATCTTAGTTAGTCCAGTTATACAGCCCATCTCACGTAACCTGGCAATACCCTCTCTCATTGTTCTCCAAGAGGAGGCATTTTCCAGGTCACTAGGATTAGCATATACCCGGACTAACCCATCTCTCACAAGGTCTAACAGTGAAAAATTCACAGTAAACTCTCGGGCCTTACGCATGGCCTGGCGCAATTGTGGATCATGGGTTAACACTCCCATAGCCACTGCTTCCTTGCCTGACAAAAGAACACTGTCCGCCCCATCATCCCACAAACGTAGGAGCCAACTTAATAGGGGTTCCCCGGACCTCTGTTTGTATTGTTTTTCCAGTTCTTGGAGTTTAGTTTGTGTAAACTCCCTTAATTCTTCAATTTCAACATCTCTGGGGTTGCGGTAATGTACCTCCCCATCAGCAAAATCTTCTCTATCATGCTGCCTCTTCCTATGCTTAGTAATAAGAGGTCTAGCACACTTCTTCTTTCCCACTGAGTGATCAACATCATCAGTAATATCAAATGCAATCTCCTCATCCTCACTATCACCTGAGGAGAGCGCATCCTCACGATCCCAATTATGGGATGTGACAATGGCACGCACCCTGGCTTTGCTAACAGGTCTACGGCCTTTCTTTTTCCTTAAGTCATTAATTGATTTGGTCATGAGGGCTGCACACCGCTCTTCCAAATCATCGGCCCGACTAGCAGTTGAACGTACACACACCAAGACAACTGCTAGGAGGTCTTTTAATGCCTTAACCTCTGCCTCGGCTTTCTCCCTTCTTTCTGTTTCAGTAGAGAGGGCATTAAGGAAGTACCAGCCAAGTAAGGACACTGCCTTCTTCTCTGCTTTGTTGAAACAGAATTTCTCAAAGCTAAAATTTGCTAAATCATCTGAAATTGTACCACTCCATGACTTACTAAAAGGAGATGAATACTTAGCTAATTCCTTGGCAAAAGGCTATCTCTGGCCCAAGCAGGCAGGTTGCACGCCCCCATTGTACAACAGAAACATCTGCAGCCTTGCTGGCCCAGGCAGGCAGGTTGCACGCCCCCTCCTGGACACCAGAAACATCT